CATGTGCATTTGTAATCAACGCACCATATTTTTTTTAACCCATTTTAAATTGAATTTTTAAAAAATGGGAACGGCAGACAAATTTCCATGCTGTAAGAATAATAGCGGATATATGAGCTAAAAATGGAGAGTTAATTATGAAAATTGTAAATGTTTCCCGGTATCCAACTGTGAATCACGCGAATTGATCGGAAGGCTTTAATTGTCCAACAGAGTAAAATATGGCGATTTGTTAATGTCATAGCGGAATATTAGTCTAATCCAGACAAAAAAAAAAAAAACAAAACAAAAAAACGTTTTTTTTTGTTTCGGTTGGTATTGTTACAATCATTTGCCTTAAAGAATGTGTGTGTGTGTGTGTGTGTGTGTGTGTGTGTGTGTGTGTGTGTTTTATTTGGATTTTAATTCAACTTTAACAATTGTTCAGTCATATCGCTACGATGTCTGCAGTGTGACAGTTTACAATGATGTCTGGCATTGGAGCATTATGCCACAGACATCCAGCATCATTTCCCACGCAGTCACATTATCCTAACACCAGCCCGACTAGTCCTAACCTTACCCTCTTAATGCTGAGCTCCATGTGAGGCAGCTGCTTGCACTATTATTAGTATGGCTCATCCTGAATTCAAACCCTTGACCTTCCGCGTCCGAGCGGACGCTCTAACCACTTAGGCCACCGGAGCCGTCTGCCGTAAAGTAAAGAATTTTATTCTGAGAGAACAAAATACGACGTACATTTATTTTCTGTTGGAAAACATAGACCTATAGCCTTAAGGGTGCACAAGGAACCCATTTGTTTGCTTTATTATTGATAAATGTTTATATCGCCAAACGCAAAATTGACATGTATAGCAAAAGATACATTTATTTTTTGCAAATAATTCCTTTGAAGCATTACAACCGTTTATAATAATAAAATTAGTAGATTTTCTGTTCAATTGTGACCACCAAGCGGTCTGAAATTGATTGGCCTGTCATCATTATTATCGATATGAACGTTTGTGTATTAATGGAGCAATAAGTGGCATTGTGGCCCTGGCATTCTCAAGTCAAAAGCGGGCATCATAAAGGAACTTCAAGGACGGTGGACAATGAAACCTTAATTATTATTACACCAGTGGCTAATCACTCATATCAGACTGCAGACAGATACATCCTAATCCACTTAATAAAATTGAAAAAAAAAATCAGAAACTTCATTACTGGATGATGAAAGATATAAAGCTATCTTGCACACTTACACTAGCTTCTGAAACATCACAATCACCCTGAAAAAAAAGAAACAAAGCTTCATTCTCATTTAATCATTGCTTAGCACTATGGCGGATTTTGTCAATGATTTTGTAAATTCTCTCCACTTTGTTGAAAGTACTTTCGGCCAATAAAAACGATAATTTAATATGTATAGGTTACTGCATTTGTATGGGAAAATATGAACGAGTTTTTCGGATGGATATACTGCACGACCTTGGAAGTGCAGTATATCCTTCGACAAAACGAGTTCATATTTTCCCATACAAATACAGTAACCTTTTTATTATATGCTCATTTCTTATTCTTCCCAAGGCTTAAATATATAAACAAAAATACATTGAAAGAAACAAAGTAACTAAATGTACGCTGTATTCCGAACTAAATACATAAGCGTTGTTCGAAAATAGTCCCTTTGCACGTGGGATATAGTATGAAGGTGTTCAATATCGGTGAATATTGCACGATTCTGACAATGTAAAGTTAACGGGAAAAAAGATGAGCATATAATATATTGTTAATTTGATATGAATTCGATGTCGACTGAATTTTAAAATAAATGCTGATGCTATTAGATTATGAGCGATGTCAAATTTGCAGAAAACGACGAACCCGCCTGCTGTTGCTGTTATGTTAAAAATTCATCCGCCTGCAGCGAATTCTTTGTCATTTTTATTACGGATTTTTGTTGATTCTGCCTACACATTTATCGATTTTTGTAACAACCTACATATTAGTACTAAATCTTTTACATTTTCTAACTCCTCTCGGTAAATGTGCCCACTAAATTTATGCTGATCTTGAATTATCAGTACAAATAAATACGTGAATATACGTTTTCGTCGATAGATTAATTTTATTGCCTCAGTACACTGAAGATAAATAAGAAGAAACCAAGCGTTTATCTCCAGGCAGGCTCATATTTTTTTTTTCTAAGATCAGAGCTTCGTAATGAGGTTTTAGGTCTTCAGTCTTTTGTAGGTGGGTGGGTGTGCTTTCTTCTGGTGATACTAAATTTAAAGTTTCATTTCTTTGTGATCAAATTCCTTCTTGTTTAGGAGAGTTTAAATACTTTACTTAAAAGAAGAATACATTTGTATTCACCTTAGTGAACCGCTTCATAGTTAGTGGTACATGCCATGCCGTTTCAGTGACCTAAGTGGTTAGAGAACCCGCCTCGGATGGGGTAGGTCGCGGGTTCGAACCCCAGATGAGCATTAAAAAAACTTAAAAAATGATACAAACTTACCCCGCGTTTGGAGCTCAGCCTTAAGAGGTTAGTGTTAGGACTGGTTTGCCTTGTGTCTGGATAATGTGACTGGGTGGGAAATGATTCCACATCATGTCATATTACATGTCTTCGACATGATGACTCAATTCTAGACATCACTATAAACTGCCAAAGTGCAGACATCATCGTAGCGATATGACCCGAAAAAATTGTTAAAGTTGCATTCAAAATACACACACGCATGCATGCACATACACACGAACATGGGAAAACCTAGTTCAAAACATCAAAATTTGATGGAATTTGAGATAGTGTACGTTAGAATCAGTTATCTGGTTAGAAAGAAAACTGCAATAAAAATATCTATACAATATGCCGAAATTAAACATTATCTAAACGTTTTCTTTTTATAGGTGTATTTATCCAATGTTATATCATTAATTTAATTACAGTACGGCAATCATTTATCACTCTTAACTTGACGTTTGATCCTTTATTATACTCCACATTTTCAACCTAAATCGGGATCCGTCTACAATTTACTGGCTGCTTGCATTAAACAGTCTGATATTGTAGATACGGTTAAATTGAAAAAAAATGATAAGGTCCATTTGTAATTCAAACTCTTTTTTAATTTAGTCATTTAACATTTCTTGGAAGTGTCTTCTCTTTGAGGTATTTATCTATCTATGGTAGTGTAGAGAAAATGAAATATGGTGAAATTTAATTAGCTAACCTTCTTTATTAGCTGAAACTCACCGTAGTCATTATCAAAAAATTTAACCAACACGCAAGATTCTGCCTCCACGTTTGTAAGAACACGCACACACACACACACACACACACACACACACACACACACACACACTCACACACACATGCGCGCGTTTAATGGTTTTTCAACTGTTCTTGTAGCTTTGTACTTTCCTAAACATACTACAAATTTGACGTAAACGATACGGACTCTGGACCTAATACCGAAGGAGGACTAAAGGTTTTTCTTTTTAGAGGTCTTTACTGCGTATGATCAGAAAAAGTTAGAAATACAGAACTATTTAACTCGTTGTATTGACTCTTTTATACCAAAATATATTTCTTCTCATAATTTAGACAGCTAATAATATTAATAATGCCTACATCGGCACACTAAAATGATGTAACCGCCTCTGAGATCTATATAGTGTCTTTAAACATAAACACTACAATCCCTGAGATGTTTGAAATTCATTTTCCTCTAATGAAAAGGTGTTTTTTTTTAAAAGGCCTTTTACTGCATATGAGACAAAAGTCCGACATACAGAACTGTTTATTTAGTTTAACTATGATTATTGCGTACCGCAATGGAATCGAAACATACTTGCTGGAAATACTCTTTTTAAACCATTTTATTTCTCTATGTAGAAAAATTCACGTCGTCTTTCTTGAAATTGAAGAAAACCGTGGTACTAATTATCTGTCTTACTCAACAAGAAGGCGAATATTTATATAATTCTTTTGGAAAATCACGTTAATTTTGAATTGCCAGGCTAATACGTTTGGAATTGGGCAAATTAGGCTTCTTCAAATTATTATCTTTATCAGACATTTGTCTTTCTTACCGTCTTTTCTCAACCTGGGGAAAAAAAACCTAAAATCTTGTGAAATGCAATTACCTTTTATTTTTTTATCGATACTCAAGGCACTGTTCTCATTAAGAATGAAGTTTATTTTTTTAAAATTAGCCCTCAAATTACTGCCCTTGTGTTCACAAACAAACAAAGTGTCAGGAGAAATAAAAGTTTGGTTGTTAGATCTTTTCAATTCTTGGAGCAATCAGGACGAAGCAGTTAAATTTTCCCAATAAAAAACAACTTTTAATGCTCTGTTAGCAACGACCACATTATGTGATTTAAAATTTGTTATTTCACAGTAGTGGTTGTGCATGGAAATGATAACTCTTCAAAAAGCATAACAGATTTTGAGAAGATTACCTTAAACAAAAATGAAGGTAGTAGGAGGAGGGAGAAATGCCATGTCAACACAATGAAGGCTATACTGTGCCGATTAATAGCAAGGTTCTAAAAGTGTTAATATAAAATACGCCAGAAATATCTACGTTAACGTAAAGAAACAACACAAAAAAGTTAAAGTTAAAGAATTAAATATTTCTTTTAATTGTGAGCATTAGGATAATACGCATTTTGCTTGTTCCATTTTAAATTATGTCTACAAATCATTTCTTAACGAATAGCAACATTCCGTCTTAAAAAGGGTTTCTTATACTGCCATGTCTTAGTAAATTGTTCCTTTGAAATTAAGGGCTGACAACAATACTTCGTAGTTTTGTCATCAAAAGCATCCTAAGGTTTCTTTTTCTATCTCATGTACATGCTTTTATTTACGCAGTACAAAACATCTTTGACGGGGAAACCATCCATGAATATAACAAATGTGAGGGGGTTATTAGATGTTCTTTTATATTATAGACATGCAATTATTTACTTACTCCTTGCGGATGCAGCAATGGCTACTCACCGCTCGGGTGGCCCAAGTGGTTAGGGCGCCCGCTTCGGATTTGGGAGGTCATGGATTCGAACTGCGGCCGAGCCATACCAAAGACTTATAAAAATGGTACTTACAGCTGCCTCGATTGTTGCTTTGCATAAAGAGGTTTGTGTTAGAAATCTTCGGCCCGGTGTCAAGATAATGTGTCTTGGGGGTGGGTGGGGTGGGGTGGTGTTGGGTGAGGTGGGTGGGGACATAATGTTACATGTCTGCGGTATGATGCCAATGCTATACGTCACTATAAACTGCAACACTGCAGATATCGTAGCAATGACTCAAATTGTTAAAGCTACGTTACAAATGTAAATATCACACACACACACACACACACAAACACATACACAACGATATATCATTTCATGTAAATTTTAAATAAAAATTAGCCTACAATTTTGAAGTTTCACAAAGTTTCAACACTGCAGACATCGTAGCAATGACTCAAACTGTTAAAGCTACGTTACAAATGTAAATCACACACACACACACACACACACACAAACAAACAAACACATACACAACGATATACCATTTCTTGAAAATTTTAAATAAAAATTAGCCTACAGTTTTGAAGTTTCACAAAATGTATACACAGATAGGACTATGTCAATTTATTCGATTCCATTTCAGCGTTGTCCTGTAGTGCTCTTCTTGTCTGTGATGATGACTTGTATAGTTCCAAATGGGAGTTGATGATGTCGCAACAATCTGAGTCGATTAACGACTCTCTCCTGAATGTCTCTGTACACAAACGTGTTAGTAATCTTTCTTTAGTCAGTTGGGAAATGGTTCTGACCGTAATGGATTCACGTTCGTCGCTTTCACCCTTTGTCTCTTATATAGTTTACTAAGTTTTAAGTGAACATCATTATATGTTTGGGGGTTGGGGTTGTTTTTTTTTTAGTTTTATAATGGTTGCGGTTGCTTTTTAGTGAATTTTTTTTGGGGGGACGCACAAATTCTAAATTCCTGGGCAGGAGTTTGTATCAATGCGGAAACTATAGCCCGTTTCGAATTGCAATAAATTTTGTCAAACGTTGACTGTTAAACAGATGTCCCTCTTAGAACTACAAACTGTTATACACTCACACATTCTTAGAACGATAACCTGTCGGTAACTACAGGTAGGACCTACAAGTCTAGATGTTGTACACTCACACTGTTATAGCCGTACATTTTCTCTTCATCACATCTAATTACGTCTAAAAAGATGCGAATTCGATTTTGAGTGAATGAATAATATTTAGATTTGTAACAGACAACTGAAGCCATATCTTATGACGACATTTAAAAGCTTAAAAAGAATCGTGTGCCATATTTAAACAAAACTATTTCTGGAGGGAGGGGGAGGGAATACGGAGAGGTTCGAGGAAGCAGTCATTTTCGAAGACGGCTTTCGCTCTCATCGAGAATGCGATATGAAGGGAGAGAAAACTACCAACCAAATCAGAAGAAACGAGTGTATAAATTTTGATCAAAATTAACTCCCCTTGTTAAGTCAGGGTTAAACATTTTCTGATACTTGCTTTGTTTTGAAGAAAGCTTTCTCAAAATTGTTTTTTGAAACAAAAAGACGACATGTTTATGTTTCCAAATATTTATTACTGTAAATGTTTTATTGATCTAAAAATAATTAGTTTAAAAGAAAATTTAGACGACTTTGGAATTACTCAGCCCTCACAGAAAAATATTGAACGGGACGGATGGATAGGAGCGACTCATCCAGGAGGAAAATAACTCGTTATTTCGAAAGTGCATTTGCTGAGAGTTGTGGTACTAATAGGCTTTCTGTTGTGGATAAAATTTCCGGAAACTACAAGAACAAAATAAAACGAACAACAACTTTCATATTTATTTATGACTGCCAAGACTTTAACTTTTTTCTCACTGTGAAAATTTTACATTAATTTGTATTTTCCACATAGAATCGTTCGAAAAACTAAATATTGTTTCATACAAGGAAACCAACAAGAAAAGTCTTTTGTTGCCATTGTGCTTCTGTAACTCGTTACGAGATTTCACTCGTTACGAGATTTCACTGGTATCGATTCAAATATTCAGGTTGCTACACAGGTCCTAAATGAGATTATTTATGGACAGAAAACATAGCAACGTTTTGTTAAACTCCCATCCAATAATATGCGGTTTACCCATGCCACCAATCTGTTTGGCCACATTAGCTTTGGTCTATGGTACAAACTGAGAACTTGACGCCTGATTTTGGACACCATATTTGATGAGATTTAGTCTGGCTGAGTTATTGCGTGATGACATATTGCTTTTATAACTGAGGCAGTTACTACTTACATGTTTGAAGAGATTCTTATTGGAATAACCTAAACATGATTAGACATGTTGTTCTGGTTTAGCTTAGACACAGTGAATATAACCAAATTAGACACAGTCTAATTATATATATATATATATATATATATATATATATATATATATATATATATATATATATATATATA